ATGGCAACGTGCCAGTTGTAATGTTTAATTTTTGTTGGGTTATGGTTTGTCTCACCAGACTATCTATGGTACAACATACTAAATACATGGTAATTGGATTAATTACCAGTTTTACAATTTATCATAAGGACATCCAGGATTATATTGAATACATTTTTATTTGTATGAATGAATGTGAAAAAACAAATGAGAAAGGTCTTTTTAATGACTGTTAGTTTTGTTATTTGGTGAATATACTGTACCTATCATTATGTACACTTTAAAAGTTGAAAATAATCAAGCAGCTGCCATGGGCTGCTTGTGTTCAACACAGAGCCTCTATTCTGAAAAAAAAGACAGATTTGGCATTGCTGGCTGTTAGTCAGATTATGATTTACATTGCTGGCACAAATTGCCAAAATTATATTTGAGATTTCAAATTTGGTAGTAAGAATAAAACCCTCTTTTTACAGATTTGTAATAATATAAAAAGACAGGTTTACAATTATTCAGCACCATTCTATTTTTTTTTTTAAATCTGTAATACCTAGGTAATGGAATTCTAAAGAAAATTACATTTTTCACCAAATGTTAGATTTAGAAAAATATATATCCCAGACATCAACACAACAGCTCTGAGGAACGCAGTGTCAGGCCATTGCCCTTCTCACCCACTCATGACAAATTATTGGTTGACAGAACAGTGCAATGTCACTGATACACAACAATGACACTCTCTCAGCCTCACCCTGCACAAGGATTCTCTAGCTTGCGGGACCACAACATAGGGGCCAGCACCCCGAGAGTGATTGTCAATGGCTTACATTAACTAAGCAATTAATCTTTTAAACTGCCACCACCTGCTTTTATGGAAAAGCAGGAAAATTTCCACCAGATACAGCTTTTCATGTGTCCAGTATGTAATATCATTACAAAGCTAACCAACTGTGGAAAATTTGTTCAAATACTGGCCACTTTCACCCCCCTCCCTGCCCAGGCCAATATTCAGCTCTCAGCATTGTCTCACTTTGAATGACAATTTCGCAGTCATGCAACACTGCACCCATATACAATTTTTATCATTGTTTTGAGACATATAGAGCCTTCTTTTGGAAGTATTTAGTCACCACTGTTTTTTATTTTTTGTTAACAAATGAGAAAGGAATTAAAATTTTTTTTACGTTTCTGTTATAAAATTTTACAAATAAGCAATGCTTCTTCTTCACTGATGTGCACTGATGAGGCTTCATTTATGTGCACCGATAGGCTGCACTGATGAGGCTGCCCTTATGAGCACTGGTGATGTGGCAGTGATGTGCACTGATGAGGGTGCACTGATGAGGCTGCAATGGCTGCACTGATGAGGCGGCACTGATTGGCACTGATAGGTGGTAGTGATAGGCACTGGTAGCCAGCACTGACAGGCACTGATAGGCAGCACTGATGGGCACTGATAGACTGCACTGATGGGCACTGATAGACTGCACTGATGGGCACTGATAGACTGCACTGATGGTCACTGATAGACTGCACTTATGGTCATTGATAAGCTGCACAATGTAAACAAAGCGCTGTCAGGATTGCCAGTTATCGGTGATCCTTTCCTTACACAGCAACAGTGCCGAGGAATGGAAAAGCGAATAACTTGAAATCTGTTTACATGTGATCAGCTGTGATTTGACACAGCTGATCACATGTAAAGGGCCACTGTGATTGGCCTTTTACAACAATCTGTGATCAGTCATGCAACATTGCGCCCATATACAATTTTTATCATTCTTTTGAGACATTTAGAGCCTTCTTTTGGTAGTATTTAGTCACCACTGTTTTGTTTTTAATTTTTTGTTAAATGAAAGAAGAATGAAAATCTTTCTACGTTTCTGTTATAAAATTTTGCAAATAAGCAATTTTTCTTCTTCACTGATGTTAACTGATAAGGCTGCACATGTGGGCACTGATAGGCTGCACTGATGGGCACTGATGAGGCTGCCCTAATGAGCACTGGTGAGGTGGCACTGTTGGGTACTGATGTGCAGTGATGAGGCTGCACTGATGAGGTGGCACTGGCTGCACTGATGAGGCGGCACTGATAGGCACTGATAGGTGGTACTGATAGGCACTGGTAGGAAGCACTGATGGGCACTGATAGACTGCACTGATGGCCACTGATAAGCTGCATAGTGTAAACAGAGTGCTGTCAGAATTGCCAGTTATCGGCGATCCTTTCCTTACACAGCAACAGTGCTGAGGAATGGAAAAGTGAATAACCTGAAATCTGTTTACATGTGTTCAGCTGTGATTGGACACAGCTGATCACATGGTGAGTGGCCACTGTGATTGGCCTTTTACAGCAATCTGTGATCAGGGGGCGCAGATGGGGTGTATTCTGGGAGGACATCTATAGAGGCCCTCCCAGAACTAGACAATCGCACTGTAGCCATCTTTCGGCTATATCATGGTAATGAGGAGGTTAATACCTAATTCAAATAAATTCCCTCCTAGACTAAGATAACACTTAGGCTGTCATACATGGATTGACATTCGGCTGGATCAGCAGGGAACAGTTTAATCTTGATCCATGTATGGGCACCCTGGTTGTACACAAGTACTGTAGATCTGTCGATTGACTTGTGTACAAACAGCCTGGAGGGTTTTTCCCAAATGTTTAGTGTCACTGGATATAGCCAGCAACACTAATCATTGTGTTCTGCCTGCAGGAAAGGCTTCCCGTACCCCCTGCTGGCAGAAGACAATAACACAGCTGATGGGAGAATTGAGCAATTTTCTTTCCTTTCACCCACCGTGGATAGAAAGAAAATTGCATAATATATGGCCTCTTTTATCTAGTGTCTAATTATGAACAGCTATCCTAAAATTGATATTCTCAGTATGAAGAGGGTAGGACCTAATCCTGCTTGATATTTGTTAAGAAAAGGTGCCTGCAGCAGTTCTTATTGCTCCTTTTGCACTTGATTGCAAGGCGTTCTAAATAGTCCATTTTGCTCAATCCCTCCTATCCGTTCAGCTGTCTCATCAGCCAACTGGAATGTTGGAAGGGACAGGCAAGCTCTGTCATGATAAAAAGTAACAGCACTTTCCTAAATTTAAATTGGCCTGACATTTAGGTGTAGATACAGTAGGTCAATGAAAGTTGCTGCAGACACTGCTTGACACTTACACTGTATACCTGTTAAGATTATTATTATTTTATTTGAAGTAGAATTCCAGCCTAATAATAATAGTCTTAACCTCTTCACCAACAGCACGCAAATATGTGTCCTCTCTGTGGCTAGGCCTTGATGCCGAGTGGCCACATATTTGTGTACCATTTGTAAACAAACATGTGCTGAGAGCATGCGCCCTGTGTGCACCCAGCACATGTGTTGGCATCCCACGGAAAGGTCCCGATCTCTCCTTGAGATCGGGACCTTTCCAATCATGTGACTGCTGTGATAGCCAATCACAGTGGTCACATGACTCTAAACCTCGCATGCCGTCAGAAACCACTTAAAGCGCCAGGAGGCGCTGGCGTGAAGGAGTTAAATATGTTCTCTCCCCCTACCTATGCTGCCTAACCTGCATAAAAAAAATGTGTATACTCATTTATTTTTTTGTCTGGTCCAGTCATGTGGTCAGCAGCTTTGTCTCCCCTGTGTCAGTCATCAATGGCTATGGGAGAGAGGATGCAGATAATGACTGGGGCATGGGAGCCTATGAGTGATGTCATATCTCCTGGAATTCCCATCCATTGCTGAGTGCTCCCTCTCCTTCCCTGTAGCCACTGCTCACTAATGCAGGGTATCACATGGCCAAACAGGAGAAGGCTTAAAATAGGTAAGTATACACAGCTTTTATACACAGGTTAGTAGGCAGGAGGATGACGGAACATGTTTAAGACTAGATTGTGTTAGACTGTAACTCAAGCCATCTTACTTGGCAGAATGAGACTGGACCTGGACACCTGAATTGTGTACTGGTTCTACACAACCACATGCAAAGGTTAAACCACCTTATGAGCTGCAATATTTGTCAGCTGAGAGTCACAATATGTTGGTTGGTCATATTGTCTCAAAAAACAAAACCTCAGAAAAATGTTCAGTTAAAGATGCAGCTATATGAGAGAAACAACAATAATAAAATTATATTTTCTCTATTCAAGATAGACTAAAAAAAAAAACCCAGATTATTCTTTGTGCATTTTTTGCTAATCTTTTGTTTTGTCATTCTTACACATACTATTGGGCTGCTACCTATTATAATAATAGTTTTCGCCAACAGTTTTTACATTTTTGGATGTCCTCCAACATACTTTCTTCTGTTATGTCTGAAGTCTGATCATTTTCTGAACAGATGTACAATGTAATAGTTTTTTGGCAATATACAGATTATATTTGAGCTATTTTGGATAGTTGAGACTTTTTCTTTCATGTCTATTCTGACAGCTTTATTGCAGTAAAAAAAAAATAAAAATAAACGTTTTCTTATTATACAGTTGCAAAAGCCATTATTTAAAATTGCATTCCATATTTATTTTTTTGTTTCCTAGCAGATATTAGTACTTGACATAAATGTTCACTTGTGCATAAATTACATTACTTTCAAATAAAGCAAAACACATGAAGGCTTCTATAATAATAACGGATATGAATGTCACTATTTAACCTTTGTCTTCAGCTAAGTATAAAATAAAACTGAAGCTGTTAATTGTTTAACTTTAAAAAAAAAAATCTCCTCCCATGACAACAAAAGAGCTTTTACCTCTTAACCACAAGCCTACAGGGCACTTATACCCCCTTCCTGCCCAGGCCAATTTTCAGCTTTCAGCGCTATCACACTTTGAATGACAGTTGCGCGGTCATGCAACATTGTACCCATATGAATTATTTATCCTTTTTTTTGTGACAGATAGAGCTTTTATTTTGGTGGTACTTAATCACCTCTGGGTTTTTTATTTTTTCTTAAACAAACCAAAAACCACTGAACATTTTGAAAAAAAAAAAAATTATTTTTCTTAGTTTTTGTTATAAAATTTTGTAAATAAGTGATTTTTCTCCTTCACTGATGTGCGCTAATGAGGCTGCAGTGATGGGCACTGATAGGCTGCACTGATGGACACTGATAGGTGGCACTGATGGGCACTGATGAGGAGGCACTGGTAGGTGGCACTAATGGGCATTGACAGGCATCACTGATGGGCACTGAAAGGCAGCACTGATATATGGCACTGAAAGGTGGCACTGAGTGGCACTGATAGGCGGCACTGACTGGCACTGTTAGGTGTCACTGATTGACACTGACATGCAGCACTGACAGGCACTGATAGGTGGCACTGACTGGCACTGATAGGCGGCACTGACTGGCACTGATAGATGGCACTGATTGGCAGCACTGATATGTGGCACTGATTGGCATTGATATGTGGCACTGACTGGCACTGATGGGTGACACTGAAAGGCAGCTCAGATGGGCACTGATATGTGGCATTGGTGTGCACTGGTAGGCACTGATATGTGGCATTGATGTGGCACTGTTGGGCACTGGCACATGGCACTGTTGAGCACTGACAGCTGGCACTGATGGACACTGACAGGTGGCACTGTTGGGGCTACACTGATCATCAGGGCACACTGATCATCAGTGCTCTGATGATCAGTGTAAATGCCCCCTCTGCGGAATGCCGATTACCGGCTCTCCTCTTGAGCTGTCAGCATGACAGCTTGTGAGGAGAGAAATGCCGATAACCAGCATTTTCCCTGTTTACATGTGATCAGCTGTGATTGGACACAGCTGATCACATGACTGAGCCGACATCTTCAGCTCTTTCCGTGGATCGGTGATCTGCTGTGTCCGAGGGACACAGCGCACCGCCGATCGCTCGCTGCGCACTCCGGGAGCCGCGCATGCGTGGTTAGAATGGGAGGATGTCATATGACGTCCTCCCAGAACGAGGGAACCACCTTGCGTCCGTCATATTACTATATGGCGGGTGGGAGGTGGTTAAAAGATTGTCCCAGTCAAATAAAAATGATTACAAAGCTTATATAAACGACCTTATTTCCAGCTGTTGTAACTAAATGGCTGGGCAGCACCCTTACTAGGGTGGCATGGAAGCTATCAGCCTGTGGCACTGCTGAGGTGTTATGGAAGACCAGGATGCTTCAATAGCGGACTTCAGCTCTTCTGAATTGTTCAGTCTCATGTCTCTCATCTTTCTCTTGGCAATGCCCCATAGATTCTCTATTTGGTTCAGGTCAGGTGAGTTTGCTGGCCAATGAAGCACAGTAATCCCACAGTCATTGAACCAGGTTTTGGTGCTTTTGGCAGTGTGGGCAGGTGCCAAGTCCTGCTGGAAAATGAAGTCAGCATCCCCATAAAGCTTGTCTGCGGAAGGAAGCATGAAGTGCTACAAAATCTCCTGGTAGACGGCTGCGTTGACCTTGGACTTAATGAAGCACAGTGGACCAACACCAGCAGATGACATGGCTCCCCAAATCAACACAGACTGTGGAAACTTCTCACTGGACTTCAAGCATCTTGCAGTGTGTGCCTCTCCATTCTTCCTCCATACTCTGGGTCCTTGGTTTCCAAATGAGATGCAAAAGTTGCTCTCATCAGAAAAGAGGACTTTGGACCACTGAGCAACAGAACAGGTCTGTTTTTCTTCCATCGGAATGAATGGCGGAATGTTCAAAACTAGAGTGGGAGCTGACAAAAGCTAGAGTGTGAGCTGAAAAATCAGGACATTATTTATAAACTGCCACCACCACTCCCGCATTTTTAGGCCCACCTACACAAATCTTATATCAAAATGTTCAGCTATCCCTGCTGCCACTAAAAATGTCCACGGCTAAGCCATAGTCCTGAAAGTTTTTACAATATGACCATTTGTTTGCAATTCACGCCGCCCATTGACATTCATTGAAACTCCACTCTAGTCACCTCAAATTTGAAGGGAAATTTCTAAAACTGCGATTGTGCCTTCATTTTTATTATTTCAGAGACATAGTATGCATCAAAATGTAGGTCTGGGTCTTGTGATTCTCACAATATAAAGCTCTTTGCTGTAGGATTTATAATTTTTAAAAACTACGACCATTTGATCAATCAATTGGTTAGTGTAATGTTTACTATCTTTACTCACTCCAAACACTCCACACAGTTTCTCTGCCCACTCCATAAAGTTACTCTGCCCAGTCCAACCTTTTCACAGTTACTCCAGCCACTCCAACCACAAAAACAGTTACTCAAGCCACTCAACCCAGTTACTCCGCCCACTCCAGTTGTAGACTACTGGTGGAGGCAAGAACACTTCACACAATTTCCCCAGAAATTGTAGCTTTTCTAGTTAGAGTATATTATCTGAAATATGCACACAAAACAGCATCAGGATGCCAGGATTAGTATGCCACCAGAACAGCACTTTATTATAAAGACACATTTACATCTAAAGCGCTTTGCTCCATCTCCAGAGGCAACCAGTTATGGATGTCAGCACAAGACAGCAGTCCATTTGGCCTCATCAACAATTGCTATGTACAGGACAGGACCCTCCAGGAAGATGGATGGCTGGCGGCATCCACGGCCATAGGTTCATGTCATGTCACTGACAGGAGACCAAGGCAAAACATCAAACATGAGGGTGTGTGACATAATCCTACACTCAGTTCATTGTCTCCAGCAGTATGCCTCCCAAAGCAAATGTCCGTCCCACACCTGTTGGATCAGAAGAAGAAAATGACCCCAAATCTACCTGTGTCTAGTGTTCTATTACCAGCTTGGCAACATTGCTGGCTTTGAAGCTACTTCCATTCTGTCTCATGGAGTCACCATTTTATTATTATTATTATTATACAGTATTTATAAAGCGCCAATAGTTCACTCAGCGCTGTACATTACAAGGGGGGACAGAACATGTGACAGAACAATACCAATACAATGCAAAACATGAGGGGATCGAGGACCCTGCTCTTTCGAGCTTACAATCTAGAAGGGACGGGATAGTGGTACAGGAGGAGATAGCTGTGGGGGATGGAGTGGTAGGAAGAGTGGAGGAGGTCGGTCAAGTTAGCAGGGGGTAGGCTTCCCTGAAGAGATGGGTTTTCAGGGTGCGCCTAAAGGAGAGGAGAGTAGGTGATAATCTGATGGGTTGGGGAAGGGAGTTCCAGAGGATGGGTGACACCCTGGAGAAGTCCTGGAGGCGGGCATGGGAGGAGGAGACCAGGGAACTAGAGAGAAGGAGGTCTTGTGAGGAGCGGAGTGTGCGTGCTGGGTGGTACTTGGGTATTAGGTCGGTGATGTAGTTCGGGGCAGTATGGTGAACAGCTTTGTACGTCAGTGTTAGGATTTTAAATTTGATCCATTGCGCAATCGGAAGCCAGTGGAGGGATTGGCAGAGAGGGGTGGCGGAAACGGAGCGGTTGGAAAGGTGAATGAGTCTGGCAGCCGTATTCAGGATTTTATGCAAGTTTATGGTCTGCGCTTGTGTGCCCCAGGAGGTAGAGGTCCTCTGCTGCAGGCAGAGTATCATAAATTAGATTTTATGCCTGTGCAAGGAACTCAAATGTGGGTCACCAAAGAGAGGATTCACTATTAAGTAGACACCCTATTAGGTCCTTGATACAAGAGTAAGAGTAAGATCTACTGCCACCATCCCACATGTAGCTCAAAATGTAACACTTTAAGGAGGTGCTGCATAAGAACCTCTATGCTAATGGTGGCAAGATCCCCTCTGATGATCAACATGCCTCCAACACTTTAATCCTAGAAAGAGATTTTTTAAGATAACCAGGCTCAGCTGCAGGCAGAACTCACAGGCAACTCCTGAAGCACATGATTGCTGACTGCATCATACTCAAGCTGATGCTTATGCTCTCAGAAGTTAGAACCCAATATTTTTGGGTGTCCAAGCTGGAACACTGGCCAGAGCTGGTACAGTTTCCGCTGGAACTTCTTTCTTGTAGAAGTGCTGTCTCAGATGGCCAATCTGAAGCTGCAAATAAAGTTACACTATAATTACCCTCAATACTGGTGGCCTGGGCCCTAATTTGTCCAATCTTTTTGCACTGAAAACCTTCCCATTAAATATAGTAGAGAATTCCTGACATGGGTGGCCCCAGAACAGTAGCTGTTAGTTTTTATTTTTTGTATTTATTTTTATGTTTATATATTTTTCTTTATTATTTCTTAACGCTTTTTGTGTTGGCTGGATGGCTATTGAGTGGAAGATTCCCAGCTGTCATTTCTTTTGTTGTCATTTTTACTTGCAATTTACTTATTATTTTAAATTTCAGATTTTTTCACATACAGTATTTACTGATATCTTTTAAGCTGGCAAACCCATTTTCTTTGACACAGATCCCTGAAATGTTCCATTCCTGATGGAAGATTCCTGACCCTTTCTAAAGTACTTTTATTCCTGCGTTACCTCTGCACATCTTCTATATGCATACCAACCCAAGGTTGGACAGTTTGGACCACATCGCATTCAAACTCTAAAGGCATCTCCTTATTCTACCAGTTACTTCACCTGAAAACAATGTTTGCTAAAACCCAATCAATTCTCGAATGGGAATCTAAACTTCAAACTTGTTTTTCTGATACCCAATAGCAAAGAGCCATTTACGCTAATTATATTTACTCTAAATGTTCTAACTACTGGGGAATGGCACAAAAAATGCAAAACTGAAGACAGATACTTACCACAATTATCCTTTCCTGATGAGCTCCATGTCAGGTCAGCATCACAGCTGGTTATGGCCCCCCGCCCCCCCATGCTTCCAAGACCTACTTCATAAATTTGAGCCCACCTGCAACCTTTGCATTCTGTAACTAGTCCTACCAAGCTGGGTGGGAATTGTGCTGACACAGAGCTCATCAGAAGAGGAAAATTACAGTAAGTATGAGTCATTCAATTTTCCGTTTTCCATGTCAGCACAAATGGGAACTAACTAGCCACAGAGGGGAGGAATAATGCTATACACTCCTTAATTCTGTCTAAAATCAGAAACCAGGATGCCTCTGCTACTCATAAGGATGAAACACGTCTAGTGGAAATTGCCATGATCCCCCTGGCACAGCCAACTCTTTCAACTTGTAGGTCAAGGAGATGAGCTTCACCGGCCAAGAGGCAATAATCTTGTTGGAAGCCGTGAAATCATTATGCACTCCACCTGGAATGACCAACAGGTGCTCCAACTTCCTGTTGTCAGATGTTGCCTTGATCGAACATTTTAAAGTCTGACCCACATTCAATGGGCTACCTTCTTGGGTACTACCCAAAAGGGGTCGTAAGAAAGACTTGTTTGATAAATGTTACATAGTTACATAGTTAGTCTGGGTGAAAAAAGACAAAAGTCCATCCAGTTCAACCATTAAAAAAAAGTTATAATTCTATACCCACAGTTTATCCAGAGGAAGGCAAAAAAAAAACAGCAAGGCATGATTCAAT